GCTGCTGCTGGTGTTGTTGTCGTCGTCGCTGTTGGCTCTGTTGTTGGTGCGGTGGGGGTGTGTTCCGCTTCTTCTTCTTCTTCTTGGTGGTGTTGCTCTTGTTGGCGTGGGTGCGGGAGTTGTTGGTGTTGGTTCTCTTCGTGCTGGTCTTACCGGGGTTTAAGTCTCAAACCTATATCCTAAACCCTAAACCCTAAGCCCCATACCCTAAACCGTAAACCCTACATCCTAAACCCTAAATAAACCCTAAACCCTAAACCCCATATACCCTAAACCCCAAAGGCGGCTTTATCAAGTGGAACGTCCCGGGCCATGGTTGGGCCTTGGCCCACCAGAAGTCGGTTGAGGACAGGGACGTTTAGGATTTGGGTGGTTGTCAAAATTATGGTCCCTTTTTGGGTCCTTATTATAATACGGCACCTATTATTTAGGGTACCCCAAAAGGGACCATAATTTTGACAACTACCCATTTATGGTGTAGGGTATATGGGGTTTCCGAAAATTAGGGAACCTTATTNNNAAGGATCCTACTATTTAGGGTCCCCCTATTTTCGGAACCCCCCATATAGGGTTTAGGCCCTACGCCCAGGGTTTAGGGTACATGGCGTTCAGGGTTTAGGGCATATAGGGTTTCGGCTATAAGGGTTTAGGGTTTAGGGTTTGGGGGATAGACCGCAGTGGATGGAACTCCCACGACCCCTATATTAATCCTTGGCTCCTTGGGAGTAACCTTTCAACTTGAGCCGGCGATGTTCTTGTTTATGCAGCAGGCAGTCGTAAGTCCCTAAACCCTAAACCCTAAACCCTAAATGAGCGAGCAGGACGAACAGCCCTACTACTTGTATGACACTGGGGACGGATCCGTTCAGCTGCTGCAGTCAAAGTACTCGGCATGGACCAGCACCCTCTGTTTCTGTTTCAGTTTCTGGGTGTTTAGGGTTTAGGGTTTAGGGTTTACGGTCTAGGGTTTAGGGTTTAGGGTTTAGGGTTTTAGTTAAGTCAGTGCACAGGCCTGTGTTGATGACCAGAGTTTGTGAAGGTGCAGCAGCTAGCTTGAATGGGTTGCAGCAAGCTCATTTAGCTGCAATGTGGCTTATGTGAGTATTCTTGACACAGCAAGGTTAAGCCAACTGACGGACAGCCATTTCTTCTGGGACATCTCGCAGGCCAGTGGTGGCATGATCAAGAACATAGGCACCCAAAACTGCCTCAAGATGGGGACAGTGACCCTCGGGAATGCGGCTGATGAGGGTGATGTTGGAGGAAATGATTGCGGACCCAGTGGCCTCCTTAACTCGATTTTGACAAGCGACTATGGGGCACCGAACAGGCACCAGTGCGCAGTTGTGGGTCAAACGCTGGATTGGACAAATCAGGGTGCATCTTGCCAGGAGCCAGTGTATGCCCACACCACGGACGCCACAACAGTGACGGTCATGTGCCCGGATGGTTTGGCTCTGCAAAGCACTTCCATGGAGTTCCTCAGCGAGCACAAGGAGACAGACTATAATTTCACGTGCTGCACGCCGATGATGCCACCCTATGTAACATGGGACAACGATGAGTACGACCTTGACTATACCTACTGTAATCTCTTTTTGGCCGGAGTGAATTGGAACGGCGGTGCTGCATACCGTTCAAACGTGAAGTGCATGGGACGAACTTTGACTACCGTGGACGCGAGCACGCTGCCTTTGACGACCGGGACACTCGATACTAACCGCGGCCAATATTAGCCACGGTTCTTGACCACAAGTTTATGGTTGTTGTTTCCTGGCATGGCGGTAAACCCTAAACCCTCAACGCTAGGTCCCAATTGCACCCTCAGTGATCCAGAGCTTCGGTGATCTGCAGTGTATTGGGTGCCAGGACCTGTGACGCGAACGACGTCTTCCAGCAGTGGGAATTTATCAACAACGCCTCTAAGGCCGCCGATTTGCTTGCTGATATCGCTTCACGGTTTAGGGTTAAGGGTTTAGGGTTTAGGGTTTAGGGTGTACAAGTACCAGCAGGACCCTTCTGCCGCGACCGGCGGAAGGCAGCCTCGCAAAGTCACGCAGGCGCATGGGCGAGAACAAGACAATGCACAGCATGCATTGCAGTTTCCTTCCATTGCGCAGAATGTTCGAAGGGTCTGTGACCATTCCTTATTACTCCTTAGGTATTACTTAGGTCCTACAATTAAAAAATGTACAAAAAGGTAGCCCAAAAGGCTCTTCGCATCGTTTAAGGGGACTATATGATAGAATAAGTTCAGACTTCGAAGTTCTGGGACCGGAGTAGAGCTCGCCTTCGTTGTTTTAGGGTTTAGGGCCGGGTTTAGGGTTTAGGGATTTAGGGGTTTAGGATTTAGGGCCGGGTTTAGGGTTTAGTGTTTAGGGGTTTAGGGTTTAGGGGTTTGGGGGTTTAGGGTTTATGCTTTAAGATTTAGGCTTGTAGCCGTCGCCGGAGCAGCAGGGGCACGAAGAAAGCTAAGTATGTGGGTAGGTCTCTATATTCGGGTCCCTTTCTGCGGTTCCCCATCATAATATGACAGCTTAAAAAAAGGACCCTGAACGGGATCCTAGTTTAGAGAACTACCCACAGGAATACCAAGCCCGACAGAGCCTCCGAAGCCTTACAAACAGAAGGCCTTACGCAAAGAAGCCTTCAGCAGGTGTTGCAGGCGTTGCGTCGTAAAGCACTCGACAAGCTGATGTTCCTGAACAGTGCCGAAGCATGAGACATGACCTCTCTCGGATTCAAAACTTTGTTTGCATAAGCTGCAAGAAACTTCAATGACCTTGAACGATCATGAATGGTGACGCATCTTAAATCTGCCCAGTCGCTGACCTTGCCCTTGTTCAGACCAAATGAATAATCAGGCGAGCTGCCAATTATCCACATCCCTAGGCCCAGAGAGCCCAATACCCCTTAATTAAGGAACATACCTTAAACTCTAAGGGGGCTTCATAATACGATTTAAGCTATGCGGCTTCATTAATCAATGGGTCTTGGGCTCTCTGGGGCATCTTCTGCCTTGCTTCCCAGGATGACTTTGTCAGCTTGACAGACTACGAGAATTTCGTGAACGTCAGCAACTGCGAGGCAGGCGGCCAGCTCCATTCGTGTATTCACGACAGCATCTCTATGGACCGTGATCATGGGGGTTGGGGTTCAGGGTGATCATGGGAGTCAGAAGATGTACAAGCACCCTTCGTTCGCAATATGCCCGTTGAATCTACTGCTCGGATGAGATGGTGGGCGAAGGGCTGAAAGCCCTTCAAGTCCCCACGGACGTGGAACCCTAAACCCTGAACCATAAGTCCCAAACCCAAAGCCCTAAACCCTAGGCCCTAAGCCATACTTAGGCCCTAAGCCCCAGGCCCTAAACCTAAGCCCTAGACCCTTCAGCCCTAGCCCCTAAGCCTGAGCCCTAAACCCTAAGCCCCAAACCCCAACCCCTAAGCCCTAAACTCTAAGCCCTAACCTTTAAACCCTAAGCCCCAAACCCCAAGCCCTAAGCCCTAAACCCTAAGCCCAAACCCCAAGCCCTAAGCCCTAAACCCTTAAGCCCTAAGCCCTAAACCCTAAGCCCCAAACCCCATAAACCCTAACCCTAAACCGCAGGCCCTAAGCCCTGAGCCCTAAACCCTAAGCCCCAAACCCCAAGCCCTAAGCCCTAAACCCTTTAAGCCCTAAGCCCTAAACCCAGCCCCAAACCCCAAGCCCTCAGCCCTAAACCCTAAGCCCTAAACCACAAGCCCTAAGCCCTAAGCCCTAAGCTCTAAACCCCAAGCCCCAAACCCCAAGCCCTAAGCCCTAAACCCTTAAGCCCTAGTAGGGTCTAGGGTTTGGGGTTTAGGGTTTGGTTTTAGGGTTTAGGGTTCCCCAGTGCAGTTTTTTGGGACTGCGCAAGGCGCCCTAGCCGGTTCACGCGTAGCAAGCCTCTCTGGATCTAGGGCTGTGGCTTAAACTTCAATCTTTTTTTGGTATTGATTTTATTTGTTTATCGGTGTGCACCAGCCAGCTCGCCCCAGCTAGCCCCAGCTCGCCCAGCCAGCCCACTCCATCCAGCTCCCCAGCTCGCCCCAACCAGCTCGCCCAGGGCCCCCCGCACAGCCAGCTCGCCCCAACCAGCTCCAGCCGGCTCTCGAGCTTTCGGGCCCTGTGCCCTGACCTTTCAGACCCCCAAAATTAAGCGCCAAGCCCCACAGGCTTCGGCCTGTGCTCCAGGCCCCAAGTTGGGCTTTTTTGCCTTTTGCCAAGCCCTGTCCAAGGTTTTTTGGCCTTTCACCACGCCCCTCCTTTTGCATTGCAAATTGGCAGATCCCTCCCCAAGCCCCCCAAAAAATGGGGGGCCCCCTCCCCAAACCCCCAAAATGGGCCTTTTGCCAGGCCCCTCCAGGCCTCCTCCCCAAGCCCCCAACCTCAAAATTGGGCTTTTTTGCTGGGTTTTTGTTTCTTTTTTGTTTTGCATTTTGCTAAGCTCCACTCGCCCAGCTCGCTCAGCCGCTCGCCCAGCTGGTCCCAGCCAGCTGGTCCCAGCCAGCTGGTCCCAGCCAGCTGGTCCCAGCCAGCTCGCCCAGCAAGCTCGCCCGAACGGTTGGTTTGCTCATTGCAATTTACTCAAATTTACTTAAACTTAGTTGTGGTTTGTTGTTTGCTTTCCTCCAAGACCGTCTTCCTTCTCTGCTCTTTCAACAACCCTACGCTGGCGCACATTCGGCCGGAGGCCTCTAAAATTTAGGGTTTGGGGTTTAGGGAACCCTAAACCCTAAGCCCCTAAACCCTAACCCCTAAGCCCCTAAACCCTTACTTGACCAAGTGGCAGGCTTCCTTGACGCTCCAGGACAGCGCGTCGGCAATCGATGGTACCTAGGTTTCTGAGCAGGTTTAGGGTTTAGGGTTTACACCCTTTTTCCCGAATACGCAGCAGAAGGGTTCTCGTTTCAAAGG